TGGCGGAACCTGCTCCCAGAGGCCTCCTGTCCTGGCACCTCTAGGGAACAGGCTGGGTTTGAAGAGCTGCCCAGGGTAAGACTCGGTCTTGAACTGAGGTGGGAGAAACCATGCTGCCGGGGCTAGAGCAGGCGTCCTCCTGGGAGCACCACCCACCCACCCACCCTGCTCTGTGCAAGTAACGGGCCATAGCCTGCTCCCTTGGCATCAGCTAGAGGGGACTTTCCTGCAAGATGAAGTTCCTGGGAAATGTCCACCCTGTTTCCCTCATGTATTAAGACAAAAGTGCAAGAGAAGAACCCCGCTTGACCTGGGAGACTCTCAGACCAGCTGGAGCAGAACAGAGACGTCACCCTTCCCCTGCTGGGTGACGAGCCTGGTGGCTGTGCGCCATCACTCATTGGGCCTCCTTCCCCAGGGGGAGGGCAGGGCCTGCTTGGGGGCAGGAGAGGCCGAATGAGGCCTGTGCACTAAACCTCTGAGAGGAACCCGCCCAGGCTCCAGGGAGAAGCCCAGGAAGGAAGCCTGGCCTCATGGGCAGGACGGTCCGCCTTGTCCAGTCAGCACTGGGTCTAGGCACGTCCATTAGTCCTGTTCCTGGCTTCTCCAGACTCTGTCTCTCCCCACGGGCGTTGGCTGAGATTTCCTGGGTCCCATTTTCCCGCTGGGGCTTCCCAGCCTGTACTCATGCCCCTGTGGGAGGAGCTGGGTTCCTGAGCCAGTCAGGGCCAGCTCCAGACAAGCCCTGGAGCATGGACAGGCCTAGCTTCCCTCAGGGGGGCTGCCCCAAGCCACACTGACTTCTCTCACAGAGCCATGGAAGGGACCCCTGTGTTCCCAGTGCTAGAGATCGTGGCAAAGCAGGGGGCGGGCTGCCTTGGCCACCCCTTCTTGTTCTTGAAGAGCAAAACAAAGCCTGGTGTCTCTGTGGTGCCAGTCAAGACAGGTGTGGGCTTGCTAAGTTCAGGAATTGGCCACACTGTGACAAAGCAGGAAGCCTGGCTCTGCGCTCGCATCTGGCTGCTTATTCTGTCCTGCCCTGGCAGGAGGGCCACCATGGCTGCCCTGTGCTCCTGGCCTGCCTCAGTCACCCAAGCAATGGCATTTGAGAAGGAGACTCAGATTCTGCCTGCTCTGTGCCCCGAGTTCCTGCTAAAGTTTGCCTCCCTGACCTTCACACAGGAGTGGGAGGTTATCTGGATGGACTCAGACCCCTTTCAAGGTTGAGAGAGGGACAATGCTAGGGGTGGAACCCAGGCCCTTGGGCATGCTAGGTAAGCACTCTGGCACTGAGCCACCTCCCCAGCACCCACCCTCTTTTAATTTTTTTTTTTTTAGTTGTTGATAGACATTTATTTATTTATATGTGGTGCTGAGAATCGAACCTAGTGCCTCACACATGCCAGGCAAGTGCATTAACTGCTGAGCCCCAGCCGCACCCTCTTTCAGTTTTGTGACAGGGTCTCCCTAAATTGTCCAGGCTGTTCTTGAACTTGAGACTTCCTGTCTCAGCATCCAGAGTAGCTGGGATTACAGATGTTCAGAATCACCATGCCCACTGTTGTGTTTTTTGTTGCAGTGCTGGGGATGGACCTAGGGCCTCATCCGTGCTAGGCAAGTGCTCTACCTCAAGCCCAAGGCCTTTTTTCCAAAACACTCGTGAGGATCTCAGCTTTGGCCATGATTTCTGGCCTCAGTGGAACTTTCCCCTTTATTAAATAGGGACTGAGTCTGACTGCAGCCTCCCCTGGCTTAGGCCCAACTCCAGGTGCACCTGGAGGGCACGCCCCAGCCTCCAGGCTGAGGCAGGGTACCCACCTTGGGGAAGAAACCTTATAAAATGTGGTTTGATATGGCTTTTCTCTAGGACTTGCTCCCCAATCCCCATTCCCCCCCCCCAAAAAAAAAAAAAAAAAACAGAATCATTTTTCTGGGACTTTCCCTGCAGATTCGATTATGGGAATCAGTATAAAAACAAAGTTGTGAAACCCAGAGCAGCGTGCGCTGGCTTTTTTCCTCCCAGTAAATTCCCTCTGCACAGGGTTAACAGGCTGACAGATTTCCCTCCCAAGTTCCTCCAGGGGGTTCCTCAGATCCTGAGGCCCGCCCTCCCTCGCCAAACCCGCAGCCCCGCCTCTTTTAATGCAAAACCAGCTGCCTCCCCTGACTCCGGGGCAGGCCTTCCAGCACTGTGGATAGTGAAAGGTGTTTACAAGTGAAAGGTCTGAAGGACTCACTCGGGATCTCCAGACCCCTTTTTCCCCCTCTCTGCTCAGTATCTGTCCTTGGCCTTTACACCCTTCCCCACAGCCATCCCCCTAGCCAAAGGCTCCATGGGCAATGATGTTTTGTCATTCCCTGCCACCTCACCAGCAGCTTGCTCAATGCCAAGTGTTTTGCTCTTTTGAAAGGCCTCAGCCGGGCATAGTGGTACACACCTGTAATCCCAGTGACTTGGTAGACTGAGATAGGAGGATCAAAATTTCAAGGCCAGCCTCTGCAATTTAGCAATGTCCTCAGCAACTCAGTGAGTCCTTGCCTCTAAATAAAAAATGAAAAGGAGCTGGGGATGTGCCTTAGTGGTTAAACATCTGTGGGTTCATTCCTGGGTTTCAACAACAAAAAAGGGAAAGGCCTCAGCTTCTTTTCAAGGTCATGTGTCTCTCCCTTACCCACACCTACCCCAAGACCAGTGAGTTTCAGTCACATTATCATGGGCAGTGTCTTGTAATTTTTAGAAAAACAACCAGTTTGTGTTATATTTTGACTCCATGAGTAAAGCACACACATGGTAGAGAAATACTCTTAAGGGAAGACGAGAACTGGGGGTGGAGCTCAGTGGAGTGCTCGCCCACACAACACCCTGAAGAGAAAAGAAAGGACAAAGGAAAAAGGCAGATGAAAGCCCTCGTCCTGCCATCCCTGCTCCAGAGAGGGCCCTGGGTCCCCCTTCCATCCCACCTGCACAGCCACCTTCCAAGGCCACGACCCCAGGCCCTCCCTCAGCCCTGGCCACGTGTCCCCAGTGCCCCTCTGTGTCTTGCATCAGCCCTCAGGATCTGTCTGGTGTTGTCATCTGCCCACCTCCACCCCCACAGGGCCATCTTTGCCTCAAATCCTACTGTTACATGGAGGCCCATCTGAGCTTAGTCACTTCCTCCCTGAAGCCCCTGAGCTGCATCCCCAGGGTATCCCCCCCACCACATACACACACACACACACACACACACACACACACACACACACACACACACACACACACACACACACACACACAAAACAACCCTGGAAGGACTTTGTCCTGGTCTACGGGAAAGCTGAGGTTTGGTGGTGGTTGACCAAATGATTACCTTTCTGGAGCAGTTTCCTCCTCCCCAAGTGGATGAGGCTGTGCCTTAGTCAAGGGACAATTCAGATGCACAGGTCTGAGCCATGAGCTGTTTGCCAGGATTGCAAAGGCTAGATGGAGTGAACCCTCTCTCTCAAGACCAGGCTGGAACACAGGGGACCCAGCGCACCAAAAGGGCACCTCGCCGGTGATCAGCTGGCCTGGGCACTAGGGCACCTAGCACACAGGAAGGTCAGGGGTTGGCAGGTGGGAGCGGAGTTGAGGAGCTTTGGTACTACCCACTGGGGCAGTGGCTTCCCGCTGTGTCTCTGGGCCAGCCAGGTGCAGGGCCCCCAGGGCTAGTCAGCTTGAGTCAGGTTCCCGGGAGCCTTAGCCATGGAGTCAGGTTCCCAGGAGCCTTAGCCATGGAGCTGACCAGGCTGGGTCTTGGGCAGGTATTGCTGAGGGAGCCCTGCAGTGGCCTCTATCCTCAGGATTTTGTAGCATGTATTCAGTTTCAGGAAGTCTGTTCATAGTGCCAAGTTGGTGCCTTCAGTAATGTTGCTAGGTTCTGTTATGGGGACGTTCCTAGGTCAGTGTGAGGAGGCTGCTGCCGTTTCTGGGGCACCACCTGGGCAGGCTGATGAGGGCAGGGGAGCCAGGGCCAGACTGTCACCAGGATGGAGCCCTGCCGGCCACCCCCCACCCTCCTCTCCCATCCCAGCTTGTCATGGGGCTGTTTATCTGCCATAGGCATGGTGATAGGTTTCTAACCACCCTGCTTATCTTAGAGGTAAGAAGCAGAAGGGGACAAGGCAGCAGGAAGCTCTGGGTGGGGGTGGCACATACCCACAGACAAGAGCTCAGAATGCCAGGAGCAGGTTGCCTCTCACCTGGGGCCTGATTTGGTTTGGGGATGCTCCCTGGAAGACATTTTGTAGAGGATGGTGCCAAGAGAGTCCAAGGTGCCATGGGGGTCAGACTACCTTGGCGTCGAACTGTCCTCTGGTCAGTTTGAAGGGTTCAGCAGCAGGAATGAGGGTGGAGCTGGTGGGGAAAGTGTACACATGCTCCACTCAAACTGCCTCTGCCTGCTCCCGCTCCTCATCCAGGTTTGTGCTGGTCAGAAACTGTGTGCAGGTGCATCATCCTGCAAAGGGCGCCCCTTCACTGTGTGTACAAAGCTGCTTAGGGTTAGTGGCACTTTGGGTCACCCTGTCCACAGGTGTGTGTGCTTCAGCTGATGGGCAGACATCAAAGTGAAGAGGTGCCTCTGGCCTCTCTGCTGGAGGCCCCAGCACAGGCTTGGGTGGTTTCTGGATGGAAGGGATTCCTTTTTTGTTTGTTCTCTTTGTTTTGTTTTTGCAGTGCTGGGGATGAACCTGGGGTCTCCGACTCCCTATTGAGGTACATCCCCGTCCTGGATTCCTTCTTTGTCTGAAGGAAGAGGGGACAGTTCATCTGGGGGGGGATGCTGGTAGAGCCTGCTGGTGGTCAGAGGTCTAAGTGGGTGTGGCTCCAAGCCAGCTCACACAGGCCATCCATCCTCTTGGAGATTGTTGCTGGACCCCTGTAGTGGGGAGACTCCACCCTTGGCCCACTGGTCTTGAGGGCCAGGAACCCGCAGAGGCAGGGGCCACATTAGAGCATCCCCTCTCTGCGCTCTCTCCAGGTCTGCTACATGTGCCACAGCCTCCTGACACTGGCTGGAGTGGTGGTCAGCAGCCAGGATATTACTTCAGACCAGTGGGTAAGTGTCCTAAGAGGATGGGACAGGGTTAGCTGGGGTGCAGTCCAGTCCTCTGCCAGGAGCTGCAGAGAGAGGCCCAGCCAGGGTGGGGTGCCAGGGCCTCTTCCTCCCATCAGGTCCCACCGACCCATTCTCAAGTGGTCCTGACCCTTGCCCTGTGCCTTTCCTGCCCCACTTGCCTGCAGGCTCTCAGAGGCTTTCCTCCCTCCCTCTGGCTGGCCCTCCCTCCTGCCCCTCCCCCATGTATCCGTCTCCACAGGGTGAGCTGCAGCTGCTCTGCATGCAGTTGGACCGCCACATCAGCACCCATATCCGGGAGAGCCCCCAGGCCATGCACCGGACCAAGCTCAAGGACCTGGCCACCCAGACCTATATCCGTTGGCAGGAGCTGCTGGCCCACTGCCAGCCCCAGGTGGTGCCTGCTCCAGCCCCCAGACCTGGGATGGGAGGGAAGTGGTCAGACTGGGCTGGCCAGAGCTAACTAGCCACATGTCCACTCCACAGCAGCTGCTGAGTTCCTGGCTAGGACAAGGGTGGAGAGGGCAGTTGGTGGGGGAGGGCGGAGATGCCCTGAGGGACCCTCATCATTCTTATCAAGAATCCAGTGCCTGGATATATGTGTGTGTGTGTGTGTGTGTGTGTGTGTGTGTGTGTGTGTGTGTGTGTGTGTGTCATTGTTGAAACATTCCTCTAGTGTGCTCAAGGCCCTGGATTCAACCCCCAGAAGGATGGCGGGTAGAGGCCAGCCTCAGCAATTCAGTGAGACCCTGTCTAAAAATACCAAATAAATAAATAAATAGATAAAAGTGAAGAGTAACTCAGCCCTGGGGAGACAGTACCAGTTTGTCATGAGTAGTGCCTGAAGGGGTACCAGTGGTACCAGCTCTCATCGCCCTGTCCACTTTCCCTGAAGACCTGGGGCTGGCCTCCTACTCTATAAACAAGAGTGATCCTGGGCTAACCTGATCCCTTCTGTTTTCAATAGCAGCAAACTTTAATACCCAGATTGTCACAGACCCTCTAGATAATGTTCATAGTTTAAAATTCCTGAAGACCTGTTTGTTGTGGTTGTGTGGTGCTGGGGACTGAATCCAGGGCCTTGTGCATATGAAGCATACACTCTACCAACTGAGCTATATCCCCAGCCCCTGAGGACCTGTTTTTGCATGCATGTACCTAACCCTCATGAGGCAGGTGTTGTTGGTAGCCCATTTTACAGATGAGCAAACTGACCAGAGGCGCTGACAGGTGAGAGAGCTCATCCAGTCACGTAGGCAGTTCTGCGAATATCAGAGGCAGCTTAGCCTGATACAGGAACCTGTGCAACCTCTGCTTGGCACCCTCCCCTCTGACCTCCATTTCTCCAACAAGCAACACCCTGCTAGGCTGGCTTGAGGCTCTGCTGTCCAGGAGTCCCCAGGCCTTGCTGGAGACTGCTGGGCCAAAGAGATCCCTGTCCACACCTTCCTCTCAGGGCTCCCTGACACCCAGCTCGCCTCTGTCTCTTGTGTTCCCCATAACCTCTGACTTGGGACTGACACGCTGACCACAGGCTGTAGCTTGTGTCTCAGATTTCACAAGTCCCTGAGAAAGCTAGAGAGCAGACTTCACCCTGGGTCCTCCAGGAACTGGACCACACTAGTCTGGTGGGAAGCCGTGTGTTTGTCCAGAAAGGAAGGAAGAGCCAGCGGTGGCCTGGCAGAGCCAGGGTGCAGGACCACCTCTGTTCACACTCCTGGGCCTGTAGCCGTTCGGAGGGAGAGAAGACCCGAGCAATGCTTTCCTTTGTGACATTGTGGTCAGGTAGCCTGTTGACTGCTGTGTCCTTGTCTGGACAGTGAGCCTTGAGGGCATTGCGTGGCTCAGAGGAGGCCTGGAGCTGACTTTGAGTGTTTGCTGTTTATCCAGAGAGTCTCAGGAGAGGGCAGCACCTGGGCCAGGTTACTGCAGCCTGTTTTTCTCCTTGCCACAGGCCCAGTACTTTAGCCCCTGGAAAGACATCTAAAGGAGCAAGGGCAGGGCAGCCCAGGGCTTTTGACTCCAGCAGGAAGTGAACAGGACTCCAGGAACTGCAGGAGGCAAAGAATGGAGGCCAAAGGAGGTCCCAGACTGAGCGGCCTGATGAAGCAGGAGCCCTCTCCACCACGGTCAGCTGCCCGCCAGGCTCGGCCACTCCCTGTCCCAGCCCACCCTTCTGCTCCCAGCCCTTCCCAGCAGCAATTCCTCCCCAAGGCCTTTGCCTCATGGCTCTGATTTCCTGGGCCCTCCTAGGAGTCTTCCCCTCTCTCCACCCTCTCTCCTTGCCTCTAATGTGAGGTTCCTTTGTGACATTAAAGTTTATTTCAGCATCAGTGGCTTAGGAGGCTCCTTTCCATCTGATCCCAAGGGCACATGCCTAATGTCCAGCCTCCGGATGCCTGTGGCTTCCCTGCTACAAAATTCTCACCTCCAGCAGTCATGTGACAGGAAGGGGGGCGGTGCAGGCCTTACTCCTGCACCTGAGGGCTCTCTGCAGACGTGCAGGGGGGAGCAGTTACCCCTACAGCCCAAGAGCCATGGAAACTGGGAGCTGGGATGAGGAACATTTGTTTGGATCCAGTCTGGGACCACTTCCCGCCCACGCCAGGGAGGCTACACAGAGGGAGATGGTGTATCAGGGCTGTAATTACGCTTAATTCAATTTATTGTTTAGCTCTGAAATCAACTTCCCAGACTTAGGAGTGGGGGCGGGTCCAAAAGACAGTTCCAGATCCTGCTCTTGCTTTCCCTTGCCTTGCCCCAGGTAAGTTTATGGGTTCTGATCCTTAGTGGGGTACTGGATATCTTTGACCTGCACCCCTCTCTTCCCCACAGGTCCCTGAGTATCCATTTTCTCTTGTCTGTCCACTCCCTAGTACTGGCAATCCATGGCTGGCCCCTCCTGATTCCTGGGTTGGGATGAGATTTTGCAGGAGATATAAGAGGTAGTCAGGAGGTAGCAGAGAATTACCTCTGTGACCACTCAACTCAAAGAATAGGACCCCCCTCACTACCAAAGTAAATAAATAGAGGAACTTTAGTGGCTCCGTGTGCAGACCCAAAGTGGGGCACATCCCTTCCTGGGCCTGTTTCAGACATAGCTGCTTCCCTCTTGGGGTCCCCAGAGTGCCTGGAGCCCGGGGATCTATTATTCAGAGGGCACAGACATAGCACAGTGCCAGGTGCCACACAGGACATCTTTTCTGCTTCAAAGTATTTGCCAAGTGAGGTGGAAGAAACCCTTCCAGAGCCAGGGTGACTTGGATGCCTGGGCCGCATGAGTTCTGGTTTCTCTCTGGCTGCAACAGATGCTGCATGGGCCCTGGCAGCCCGGGGGCTGCCCAGCAGCAGCCCGCCCAGGTCTTTGGGTAAGAGGACAGGGCCTCCCTCCAGACTGCCTCTGCTGCTGACACTGCACATCCTGACAGTGGATCCTCAGTTACTTGGTGTGCTCTGGAAACCTGGAAATCACCTTTGAAATTTCCCTTCTTTGTTCTTACTGCCAATAGCAGAGACAGGTAGGGAGTCCCGAGTGGCTGAACTGGGAGTTTCCAGTTCTTGAAGCTACCCCTACCTGGCTTGGGGAAAGGGAGGGTCTGTCCATCAGCATAGATAGATGGGGCCCTTCTCCCCAGCCCTGGCTCCCTGCTCCCTAAACCTACTCATCACCAAGAGGGAAATAGATATCAAGGGGAGAGGAGGTGTTGGTGACAACTCAGTCCCTCCAGATACCTGGCTGTAACCTGAGGAGAGGTGTGCACTGGAGGTCACCCAAGGGCGGATGCTATCCCCTGGGCCCTGTAATGGGCCCTTGCTGGGACTGGCTGGAAGCTGAGTAGATGTCCCCAAATGTGCTGGGATCAGTTAGAGATCCTAGCCTCCTAAAGGCCATGAATTCTATAATGATGCTGGCAATTTTACCACTTGCCCTTCAGGTCTTTGAAGCCCCTGGGAAAAGGCGGGGGATATCCTGGTAGAAGCCACTGGAAAAGCAGTGATGACGGATGTTTTCCTGCTTCCTTTTGGTGATGGTGGCAGGGAGGGGCTGGAAAGGGAAAGGCTTTCCAGGTGGATGGCTTTGATAACCCTCCTTTTAGAGGAAGTAGAGGGAGGAAGTCTCTTTTCCATGTCTCCACTCCCAGGGTCCCTGAAGGGTGGCTGACCCAAGCTTTTTCACTTCCCATCTGTGGGTTGACCCTCGTCCTTCCTCCTGGAGAGATGCCTCAGGGGAGTAGCAAGTGAGGAGCACAAGTCAAGGGCACCAGGGTTCACGACCAGTGGTGGGGGGTGGGGGAAGGGAATTTGCTTTTCAGGTGAGACTCCTGGGCCATCTCTAGAGACTGGCCAGAGCTGCCAGAGATCTTTGGAGAGCCTCAGTTGACATTTAGCACGTCTTTGTATTTCCCTTACTTGGCCACAAGAGCAAACGGGGGCAAGTAGGAGGAGGGTCTGTCAGGGCTTAGGACCTGAAGGGTGTGTGCCTTCCATAGCAGACACCAGGCCAGTCTGAGGGAGACTAGACAGGTATGTGACAGACGACTGACCCCACCCCTATTTTAGTAATTTTTATTTTCAGGGAGTGTTCACCACTGAACTACACACCCAGCTGCCTTTAATTTTTATTTACTGTGGGTCCAGGTCTTGCTGAAATGTCCAGGCTAGCCTGGAACTTGCAATCCTCCTGCCTCAGCCTCCCAAGTAGCTGGAATTGCAGGCATGTAACCACCACTCCTGGCAGTACTTTTTCTTAATGAAAGACCCAAGTAGCCTTAGTTTTCTACCAGTTGTTCTTTTATTCAAAGGCATGAATCATGAACAAATAGTCATACAAAGAAACTTTATCCTCTGCCCACCCACCTACAGAAAAGGTCAGTGCTGGGAATGAACAGAATACAGCAGGAAATGCAGGGAGGTGGAAGGGGGAACTAGAGCCTGGTATTTATATTTTACTTATTTATACCTCCTGGAGATCAAACTCGGGGCATTGCATATGCTAGGCAAATGCTCTACCACTGAACTACATCCCCAGCCCTTTGTATTTTATTTTGATACAGGGTCTCTCCAAATTGCCCAGGCTGGCATTGAACTTTCCATCCTCCCCTCTCATCAGGATTATAGGCCTGTGCCCCTGGCCCTTCTGGAGCCTTGTTTTTGAGGAGTCTTTGTGAAGGAGGGGCTCATGGGTCTGTTACTGGAGGCTTCTTTCTGCCCACATCCCTGGCATAGGGGACCCTGATGCCTGCCACTGAGGTACAGAAGGAGACTGTCCCTGCCAGTGAAACCAAACCACCTTTTGAAACTTTCCACTGGGGCCACCTTGGAGGTAGAGCCAGGGAGCTCAGGTCTCTGACTGGTAACCCTTGCACCTAGAGGCTGGTGGTGAGGCTTGAATGCAAGGAAAAGCAGGAAGTGGACATTGTCAGAGTACATGTTGACTTGTTAGAAGACAGAAATGAGAATACCAAGATCTGATTTAATTTAACACCCCCACCGGCCCCGGCAATTGAACCCAGGCGCTCTAGTACTGAGCACTGCATCTGCAGGTATTTTTGGTTTATTTGTTTTTTGAGACAGGGTCTTGTTAAGTTGCTTAGGGCCTCCTTAAGTTGCTGAGGCTGGTCTTGAACTTGGGATCCTCCTGCCTCAGCCTCCTGAGTTGCTGGGATTACAAGTATACACTGTCATGCTCAGTCATTACCAGTTTTTACAGAGTGGTCATGAGGGTAGAGTGGGGAAATGTATATGAAGGCAAATTGGACCATCTAAAGCATAAAAAGAATCGGAGAGAGCATCTGCATATCAGTTAATCCCCACTTAAATGGAACCAGGGTCTAATCAAGACTAGAGGGCTGGGGATGTAGCTCATGGTAGAGCATTTGACTTGGCTAGTGTGCTTGAGGGCCCGGGTTTGATTTCTAGTACTAAAAAAAATAAAATCCATAATCAGAGGAGGTAGTGCATCTTTTCCCTCCCTGGCAGCTGCAGCAGGGCACCTGCCCTGCCCACCCCAAGGTAATTGTAATCTGGCTTGCCACCAATCTCCAGCATCTCCAAGGCCACAGCTATTTTCCTAGTGGAAAGGAGCTGGGAAATGTGGTTTGGCCAGAGAGAGAGAGAATGGGGCCTTTTTGTATACCAGCAAAGACCCAATTGTTACTGAAACCAAACTGGGCGGCTTTTCTGAATTATCTCCACTGCTTTTCTGGTCTCCACTTTTCAAATGCCAAGTTTTAACCCTGAACAAAAGCTTCTGTCCCACCGATTTACACTCTAGATCAGACAGCCTAACAGTGTTTCTTCCCTTCAGGACTGCCCCTGGCTCAGAGTTACGGTGGAAACCTCAGGGCCTGCAGTCCCTCCACTCTTGCCCTTTGCCTCTAGTCAGGGGGTGGCCTCCCAGAAGTTCCTCTGTCCACCTGCCCAACTCCGAGGACCAGCTGGCAGGAAGGAGGACTTGCCAGGCAGCACCGCCCAGGAGGCCGGAGCTACAAGTTACTTGGAGGAGTGAGCGGCTGTGGGCCGGCTGTGGGCGGGGGCTGGCGGTTCTGAAGGTGGTGGTGCTGCTCAGCGTGGCTCCTCAGCCGCTTTCATCTGAACATCAGGGCTCGTGCCGCTTGTTAATCTGCCTTCCAGTGGCACCAGAAGGAGTCATTTCCTGGGGGTAGGCTCTGCCGGGAGACTAAGAAACAAGGGACGGACTGCCCGAGACTTGGGTCTGTGAGAATCATTCCAGTTCGAGGGCAGGGGCCAGTGGGCGTTGGGACCAGAAACCAGGAAGAATTGGGGGCCAAAAACCAGACCGCTCTGGTCCTCCCCCAAGAGAAGCCCTGGGTTTCCTCCGGCGCGCGTTCCTGGAATTCGCGCCCTGAAGTGGCTCTCCTGAGTTGGTAACTGGAGAGAGAGGCGCACCTCAGCCCCATTCCCGAGCCCAACCCGCCGCAGGTCTTCGGGGGACACTTCGGAAAGGCCAGGTGAGTCCAATTCTCCAGTGGCAATGCCCGGAGTCCCTCCCCGCCACCTCCAGGCGCCGTGGCGCAGATCACGACTCCCAGGCCTGGGGCGGCTGAGCACCCTGACGGGCAGGGGTCCGAGCCCTGGAGCCCAGGGCCGCTGGGCCGGCGGGTCGCAGCCCC